TTCTTGTTTCTATGAATAACGAATAAAATTATTTTACCAGACAAAATACCGTCACATTCAGTGATAACACCAGACACAACCGCTAGACCACCTACTGAAGGTGAGTTTCGTGATTGTGAATTTTAAACATGTTCTCATATAGTTCACTTTCTCTTACTCATGTAATATAACTTCTAGATTAGTCTTTATACGATCTTTCTTATGGAAACAAAGTTTGGCAATCACTACTTTTTCTAATATTCTTGTGTAGAATTAAGCACTCTGTTTTTATGAATAACAAATTAATTATTTTAGTCCACCAGAAAGCGATTTTCTTCAATGCTAATTTTAAAAATGTTCACGTATGAATGGAACATATAGTAGGACATCCATGTTCAGTATTTGCAATACACTTTAAACTGTAAAACACCAAGCGGTCACCGGTGACCGCGACCTATTGTTCTTTAATTGTGTCTATAAAACCGGTACTCGACGAGTTAACAGGCAAGTGATAATAAACAGATAGCAATATGACGGTCTTTAATTAGTCCTTCAGTTATTCTGACTCGAGACTGCAACAGTACGGAAAAATGTTGAAGTGATAATTCAAGGTTCAACCGTAGCAAAAGTCAGAGTGGTTGATCCGCATGATTACTCTAAAACAGACGTTGCTAAGATATTCGTAATTTAAGTCTGCCATGTTACTACGTCAATTAGACCAAAAAGTCTTTTTGATCGTCTTTTTATGTGCCTGTCCGTCCTCTAGAATTATTTAAAAAGTCTTTTTGGTCCTCTAGAGAAAACAAAAACAAAAGCGTATAGACATGATTGTAATGATAGTAGACATATTATAATGACAATTTCTAAATCTGCAGAAATAGAGGTAGGAAATGAGGAAAACTCTTTGCCAGGATTTTCGGAAGAATTACCCGAACCTGTGGCACGAGGTGAGTTCTTTTACTGGCGAATTTTTTTCCAATTTATTTTACCCTTACGTTCGATATCATAGTTGTTTGAAATTACTGTATGAATTCACGATGTACCATTGTGAATTCTTGGAATACATACCGTTTTGGAATTTTTTAAACTCTTCCTGCAAACGTTTAGCAACTGGAGTAATCTATTTTGTTTAACTGTTACAATTGCCTTGTACTTCTACGTCGTCTTTTAATGACATTCTTTGATTTGACAGACACTGATCTAGGAACCACTGGTGAGTTATCGAAAACATTTACTACTGATCCAAAATAACTTGATGCAGTATTTCGTTTGTTATCGCAAGGCTTTTTTTCCACTGATTTTAATTAGCGCAGCATTCTTATTTTTATTTTTCCATGGAGTAGCTGTACTTTATTGGTCACTGAGGGTTTTCCGAAACACGAAAGAGTCTCAATGCTACGCATCCCTTAACTTACTTTTCTTAGTGTATCTTGACGTAGAATCGGTCGTCTTCTCGGTTATTTCTGAATTTTTTCCTTGATGTTGTATATCTTCTAATTGCTATTCAATATTAGCTTCGTCTTATTCTGTTTATCCATTAATGATATTGATGTTCTAACTCTAGTAACACCAGTACCTGAGGCACCAACAGAGGTAGAATCTGAGATTGACCCTAAGCTGGACCATGAGCTAGAACCTGAGGTAACCTCTAAGATAAAACCTGGGGTAAACTCTGAGGTAAACCATGAGGTAGATCATGAATTAAACCATGAGGTAGACCCTGAAGTGGACCTTGAGATGGACCCTGAGGTAGACCCTAAGGTAAACCCTGAAGTAGACCCTGAGGTAGACCCTGTGGTAGACCCTGGGGTAGACCCTGAGGTAGATCCTGAGGTAGACCCTGAGGTAGACCCTAAGGTGAACCCTGAGGTAGACTCTGAGTTAAACCCTGAGTTAAACCCTGAAGTAGAACCTGAGGTAGACCCTGAGGTAAACCCTGAAGTAGATCCTGAGGTAGACCCTGAGGTAAACCTTGAGGTAGACACTGAGGTAAACCCTGAGATAAACTCTGAGGTGGATCCCGAGGTAAACTCTGAGGTAGACCCTGAGGTCAAACCTGAGGTAGACCCTGAGGTAAACTCTGAGGTGGATCCCGAGGTAAACTCTGAGGTAGACCCTGAGGTCAAACCTGAGGAAGACCCTGAGGTAGACCCTGAGGTAAACCCTAAAGTAGACACTGACGTGGACCCTGAGGTAAAATCTATATTAACAAACCCTGAGGAACAATTTCATAGTGGAAATGAAACTGGTGAGTTCAACATGCAATAGTAAATTAAAACGTATCTATTTTTTGGGAAATAAACCAGTTTTGAATTAACGGTTCCTGAATCTGTCGAATAAAAAATGATATAGACTTAATTTTGCTTAATCGCATCATCCGTGATATTGGGCATAAACAATTTACATCAATTTAATTATCAAAACATATACATATCTATATACATTGTTTCTTTGTTCTTGTAATTGCCGTAACATATGACCATAATATCAAAATGTAATAATTTGCAAGCATAAAGCAAATCAAATCAACAAAAGGCTATTTGAAATTCGTTTATGTTTGACTAATCTCATTGAATAAAACAAAAGCCGGATTTAACCTGCGAAACGGCTACAAATGATAACATTAGCTTTCTAGTACCCAATCAGTCCCATGTGTTTACAATTTTTTAAATTGACGTAATACAAAACTTAACAAGACGTGATTTACACAGATGAAGATGAAAAATTCCCCTCCCACTTTTCGCCATTTATATTAATTATGAATTATTATCCTATAAAATAAATAGGATAAACGCTCGTTTAGATCGGACACAATTCCAGCCTCAATACTACTCAGAGTTCCAAGTAACTAACACATTCAAAGACAAAATTCGTATTGAAGGTATCTTCCTCGGCTTTTGCTTGCGATTAGTTGACCAACTACATTTTATCTATAATGATGCACTTTTTATAACTCTAGAAGTCCATCCAGATACCGCCAACGAAATTAGTAACAGTACTGGTAAGTTAAATATTAAACGCACCTATTGAAATAATGCACGTCCTTCTGCGTTTAAATTTCATTTTTTATTATTACTTCAACAGAGGATGATATTGATGAGAAAACGGCGCCAGGTAATATTAGAGCTATTAACAGTGAAAGCCTTATAGTAACTAAATTAATTTTGGTATTTGAACTTATAACTTTTAATTGTCATCCACAGATGCCTCACACAACGGTATGTTTCAGTCTAGTCAAGTTTAGAGAATCTAGCAATTTCTTTTTTCTTTATGATTCTACCCTGATCTTTCAAAAGCGTTTGTAAACTACTACTACTACTTTAAATTAAACTCGTTAATTATAAAATCTTTGTTTTGAATTGTATTTAGGATTTTAAGGCATATTCTATGGAACTTTTGCCAAATAACTCTTTCTAGTAAGTTTAACCACAAAAAAAGTTTTTTAAAAAGTTGTTTTAAAAAGCCATATTTAATATTAATAGAAAGAGCGTTCTTCTGAATCAGTCTCATATTTCTATATTACTCCAACAGAAGATCCTGTTGATAAGAAAAAAACACCAGGTAATATTGAAGCCATTAACAGCGAAGAGACTATAATACTTTTGACATTTCAACTTATAACTTTCAATTGTAATCTACAGACCGTTCACACAAGGGTATGTTTTAGTTTAGTCAAGTTTAGGGAATTCAGAAATTTTATCTTTCTGATATTTAGTTGATTTATCAAAAGCGTTTGTACACATACATACATACTTATCATACATAACATCACGCCTTTTATTGTCTAGGCAGAAGTGCACATTACGGCACTTAATGACACTAAATAATGTAACACCCACTTTTCACTATTTATGTATGTAATGAGTCCCATGTAATAGGGGGTGAGCTTATTACCATATACCGGGCACGTGTCCAGACTGCGCGCTACTACTGAGATTTTTTTATAAACCAGTAATACTTTGGCCGACCCGGAAATCGAACCCGACCTTGCCCGGCAGTTGCACTTGCGACCACTCGGTCAACGAGACAGTACTTTTGTAAACTAAATTAAAAAAATATTGATCCTGATAATATATCGGTTTTTGTCTAATTACAAGTGAACACACACAATGAACGATCTTCTATCTCTGGTCAGTTTGGATGGAAAAAACTTAACTTGGAACATTAGGCATCTTCTATGGAATACTTTATTCTAACAGCTCTTGAGTAAGTCTAAGACAAATACATGAAATTACCGACGGTGGCTCCTATTTGGTTTTGAGTAATTTATTAAGCTCTTGTATCATTTTATACCTCCTACAGAGACTTTAGTCGATTGTGACGAAGAGGCGAGGTCAGGTAATACAATTTAAAGCTTATATTAAAAGTGGCTGTATTAATTTTGCCATGTTAAGTTATATCTTAGATTTTATCAATTTAATTGTTAAGTTTGATATTGCTTGATCTAAAGAAAGGGATCAGTTGGATAGACAGACGGAACAGCCTAGGCAACAAGACATAACATCACGCCTATTATCCACGGAGGGGTAGTCAGAGGTGCAAATTACGGCACTTAAATTAGGCAACAAGAATATATTTTTTAAAACATCAAAATTCTCACTAGTCCATGGCAGTGGGAAAACATCAATCTTATATTTCTCGATTTGACTAAAGCTTTTGCAAAAAACGTTTAACTAAAGACGGTTACCTATTTACAATAATGTTACCATTATCTTGTATTCAGAAGGGTTTCCAGTTCGTTATTTGCATTAAAACCGTGTACAATCAAAACAGGTTCTGCGAAACCCTCATTAAGATGTACGTGTGTGTTTTTTATTTCTAGGTTTGTGTATTTTGATTTTAGTTCATCATGATCGATTTTTATTATTGTATAATTATTTTGTACCCTACCTTTAACAGATATCTTAACACAAAATGTGTTGTCTTCTCCAAGTTTTTAAATGTTCTCTTTATTTAATTTTGGACCTTTCTGTATCTGTTACAGAGAATATTTTTGCTAAATTCCTTATTTCTTTCCTCAGAATCTTCATGTCGGACGCCTAGCGGGGCAAATGGCCAGTGTGTATCGGTGTACAACTGTCAAGTTCTACTGGACCTGATAAACAAGAAGGATCGGACAACTCAGGACATTGAGCTGCTGCAGAAGTCACAATGCGGTTACATTGGTTCTGCACCTGCTGTAAGTATTGTCTTTTGGCTTTCCAACTGTAATAATGATGTACTAAATCATCGTCATGTTAACCAGATTTTAACTTTCAGATCACCCCGTTCTGTTATCTTAATTATTTTGACCGTAGGTTGTTTTGTCGTTTGGTTCAGTATTAAAGTAGTCAGCGCCTCACACTGAACCAAGGTATTATTAGATTAAGCATTATGTATAGACGCCTAGCCCAAACAATCCTGTGTAATACATATTTGTCCTTTCCATAACATATAAAGTTAGCTATGAATACAACTATTTAATTAATAAGTAATCCTACTTAAACAGAACAAGAACAATGAAAAATAATTACTAGAAATGCATTGAAACCGCAAAAAACGCGGGAAAAATAAAGATGGCGGCGTGACGCGATCAGTGACGTTTACGTCACTATTAACAATGGAGGCGTTACTGTGGTTTGCGTCCATTTATCGAAATAGTTTCATATTAAGCTATAATAGAATAGGAAACGTAACTGGGTTTTACCAAAGAAAATCCGCGGAAAAGAAATATAGTGTTAACGTATGACTAATTAATATTGAAAACCAAAGTCTAAGCAAAGCATTTATTTCTAGCATTTTTTTACTTTTGAAACGACAAATTGAATTGTTAGGCGAGTATCTAGATATTCGTTCCAAAGTGTAGTTTCGAATGGAGAAGAACGAGTCAGAAACTCTATCGTTACTCTTAGACCAACACCACGGACTAAAGAGCATACCAACAACAACCAGGATGCAACAGCGAAATTAATAACTGATATTAATCCGAAATCACTGAATTGATTTAGGTGTCTACCAGAAACTTTATACAACGAATGTCAAATGTTACCGATTGCGTTGATGGAGGATGTACCTTAAAGATTTCTTTATCAGTAGTTAAAAATTTTATTAGACTACACAAGAACAAACCCCTTTTAATTTACGAGTCCAACATTACAAAAAAAAAATTTAGAATTCCTAATACATACACAAAACAAAATACAAAATATACCACATCAACAGAAGACATAGAAGAAAGCATTTGTTCCTATTATCATTAAAAGAATTATAGAACTGAATTTGACGGGTCTATAATCTCTATTATCCGTCAGACATCAATCAGCTCGGTTGTCTGCAAACCGCCCTTCTCCCGAAGGACCAAGCCACAATGAATTTAGCGCCAACAATTATACTTTTTTGTAGATCCCTCTTAGATTTCCCCCATTCAGAGATTTCCTTAAATAAAAATCACTTTGAGGGCTTTTGAAGGGTTTTTGTGAACGTCTTCAGCTGTTTGTTTTGATGTCAATATTTGGAGTTAATTCTTTTAACGGAGAACAATTAGTTTCGAAGCTAGCGATTTAGGATAATTTTTCCTAATCAGACAAAGTTATTGGACATTTTTCAGTTGTCTAAGGCTGAGTCCTGAGTCATGGCACGTCGCGCAAGCGGAATCCGCCGCGCACGAAACAAATACTCGATATGTTTGAACACTTTGAACTTGTCCGAACTGTGACCGGGCGCGCACACGATCCGAGTATTTGTTTCGTGTGCAACAGAAACCGTTTTAGCGATGCGCCGTGACTCAGGCAGAACTCAGCTTTAAATTTACGGGAACAGCACATAGTTTAGAATGTCGTCCGGTATATGTCGATAGAGGTTTTGGCAAAATCCCCACACAATCCAACTGGATTGTAGACCACGGTGTAAGAGTTTTAGATTTATCACACAGCATCGTTAATCGGTTTCTTTTAATCATGTAGTCACACTTGCGATATGATGGCAAAATGAACCTGCTTCCACTACATCAAAAGAACAATAACTTAAAACCATACTTCTAATTTCCAGGTGTGCTGTCCGCCGAAGCCATCTGGTACCTGCTATACTCCGGAAGGCATGGAGGGGCAATGTATTAGTCTGTACTCGTGCACACATCTAGCGAACTTGTTAAAACCACCAGTGCCGAGTGAGAGTATCGCCTATGTGCAGAAATCAAGGTAAGGAAGCATTTATGTCACTGTTAGTATCTGTCAAGGCCAAGTTACATCGTTCAGTGGTTTCTATATACATATCTTCAATTTTCTCATACTTTTGAATTTATAATATTAGTAGGGAGTAGGATAATTTCAGAACATAATATAATGTTCCCATGGATAGTTGTATTCTCTATTCATTTTAGAAGAAAATTCTTTGTTTCACAAAATTTCCACAAGAACTATCACTAAGAAATATGGAATATTTTTTATGAACCAAAAACTTAGCATTTATCCCAGTGGACGGTTGAGCCAATAAGTTTATTACTATAATGGTATTGCTAGTTTTTTTTAACTTAACTCGAAGTTAACAAACAATACGCGTCATATACCTATTTTGCAAAGCAAGGCCTGCCGTATTTCGCACGTAGGTATCCACGGATCGAAATCGTACCATCTTCAAACATAGCCTTAAAAAGTCCTTGACATTCCTACTGTAGCTCAACAAGTTGTATTATAGTATCTTCATACATATGTATTTCCTCGTCTACCATTTACATTAATGGCCGCGATGACGTCATCGAGGACTCGGATAGGATTCCCCTGTTTTGCTAATTTAGTATCATAACATTTTGAGCAAAGTATTATTGGGTTTTTTGGAGACGGAATTCTTAGTTGTGGTACAGGAGAATGATATGCGAATAGTTAGTGTACTTATCAAGTCAATTATACAATCAAACACATGCTTCTACCTAGGTTATATCTATTATCTTAGTCATTGATTTTGTTAGTAGCCTTATGAAACCAGTTTTAAAACTAATTGAGGAAAATGGGTTTTCATTTATGTCTAGAACGACTTTGTATGTGTCATAATTATAGGATTTCAACAAGAGGATTTAAATACACGTGATTGTACTTCGATGGTCAAGAAGTAAACTAGTACGACTGCCAAATACAAACTCCTAGGTTCCACTGAAAGTAAATAATTGGTGTTTTCATATTCAAAAGTAATAGTATAGAGCCTAAACTCCTTAAACTCCTTTTGGCTTAAGCATTAGGTTTACACTCTAAAACACAAGAACGCTCCTATCCTAATCTTTCATATTATACACTGTAATGTGTCATCGTATTAACAAATATAAACTCTATTCTTCAGGTGTGAAGGTCCAGAACAATACAGTGTCTGCTGTGGCCCTCCTCCAAACCGGGACCCTACAATGATACCACCCGGTGGCTGCGAGTCCCAGATGACCGCCTTCCCTCCAGACCCGAAGAGTGAATGCTGCGGTGTTGACAGTCGAGTTGGAAATAAAATTGTTGGTCAGTATATCTATGACTACAATTTTAAGACTTCACTTAGCACAGATTTTTCCTTATTAGTGGTACCATTTAAGAACTCTTTCACATCAGAATATCTATTTGAGGATCACACAAATAGCTTGTTGGAAATTCTAACCAGAATCAGACAGTATATTAGAAAGAAAAGCAAATATTTTGATCAGGAGAATCCTAACTAGATTTAATAAAACATTTGCGGTTTACATACTAAATACTAGACTTATTACTGTACCTCGATACAAAAAAGAAACAGAGTCTGTCTGCCAACAACTTTTCAGACGATATATAACGATTAAAACCTTTCATATTTCAGGCGGTAACGCAACAACAGTAGACCAGTACCCATGGTTGGTGATAATTGAGTACGTGAAGCAGGGCGTGACGAAACTGCTCTGTGGTGGAGCTCTCATCAGTGGGCGCTACGTGTTGACAGCTGGTCACTGTGTCGCTGGTCAAGTTCTTAATGTTGGCACACCGTAAGTAATACTTTATATGAAACCAGGAATCACTGAAAACATTTAAGACGGAACCACTTACATTTTAAGAGAATTCAATTTTGCCTTGCCTAACAAAGAAATTGTGTAAAGTCTTAGCCGAATTCAAAAACTATAATATTTGGATAGTGTTTGAACTAACCATAATGAATTCTTTTTTACTAAAGAAGTCTTTGAGAGACATAAACGCATTATGTATTTCTTACGAAGCCTTATAAGAATTTTTTATCACTTTCAGACGACGAGTACGTTTAGGAGAATACGACACCGGCCACGAAGGCAAGGACTGTGCGCCTGTAGAAGCTGGTGGCGAAGATTGCACAGATGGAGCCATTAAAATTAATATTGAGAAGATCACCCCTCATCCTCAATACAACCCTGCTAGTGCCTTGAAGAGGAATGATATCGCTTTAATCAGGCTGGCAGAGGCAGCACCGTTCACAGGTACGAAGACCTTCCTTTCGCAATTATTTGATCCTGTTAGACATTTAAGGACTAGACATAGAAGAACATGCTGATTTGAACTGAAAGAGCTTTGTAAGACCAAACATGATCATGATGGTGCCCTTATTAGTTTATCTTTCTTCATATTTATCACTAATCGTCTGATAAACCGCAGTATTTTCTTCTCACACACCGTCTCTCTTTTCTAACAAATTTTAATATTTTTCCAGACTTTATCCGGCCGATTTGTCTCCCGACCAAGGACATGACATTGCCTCAAAACCGTCCTATTAACTTTACATTATTCGCGGCTGGTTGGGGAGCAGTTAGTACGAAACAGTCCTACAGCGCTGTCAAACTCCACGTCGACCTGCCTTTCGTTACCCCGGAGGTAAGTCTTATTTGCTACTTTAGACGAAAAATAGCGTGAGAAAAATGTCATTGAAATACGCTGTTTATTCATCGACCTTCGAGTATTTTACCATATTTGCCATGCACGGGACATAACGCCCGCCACCATTTTTCACTGAAATGATCATAGGTCAAACTCAAGAATCGAGACATCTCACTAGGACGTCGCGCATGTAATCACTGAACCAATCAGACAATGTTAATCCATAACCCCTTTATTAATAAGAATTCTCTAAATAATCTCACAGGAATGCCAACCAGTATACTCGAAACCCGGCCGCAGTATCACACTATGGCAAGCCCAGCTTTGTGCCGGCGGACAACCAGGCAAGGACTCCTGCAAAGGTGACTCCGGTGGCCCACTGATGTACGAAAATGGCCGCACATACGAAGTCACAGGAGTCGTCAGTTTTGGACCACTACCCTGCGGCATGGATGGAGTTCCCGGCGTCTACAGTAAAGTTTACGAATACCTCGACTGGATTAGAAGCACAATCGTCCCTTAGATTGAGTACCCAATTCTAGTGGCCTAATTTGATTGGTCAGTTAAAAACCTGCGACCTGCTCTTATGAAGTACAAGGAAGCCTATGGTCAACACAAAGGGTCTCGTAATTTTAAAGTGTGTTAAGTTCATTTTTTGTAAGTCTAATCGAATTAGGTCGCTATTAACGACATCTATGATCGTCGAATTAAAGACTTCTGCCATGACACATCTTAGTTATCAGATGAGCAATTAAATTATGTAAAAAAAATACCAAACGAATTTCTTCTAATAATTATTAATATCGACCAAAATTAATAATGAAATGATTGACAAAATCTAGTGTTTCGTTCTTTAAAGTCAAGTTTAATTTAATCATAATAATTAGATTTAATAATGCTTTATTAATTATTACAATTACCACATTATTTTAAGTTAAATTGTTGAAGCTCGTTGTTCAATTTGAAGGATTGAGGATTGATAGATCAATTTTAGGATTGATTCATCAATGATTGACAAATGTTTTGGCTATAAATACAATACATATACGAAAGATTGAACTATCAATCCCATTCCTGCTTTGCCGGTATTACAACTTGCGTGATGTTAAGATCTCAAGGCTTTGAGCTGGTTTAGATCTGTATAGTTTGTAAGTAAAACATCGTCTATGAGATTATTAAAAATTAAATGATTTGTGACTATTTTTCACTTGATTTATTGTTGTATTATTTTTCACTATCGAATCGCCGCAGCATCGCGCGGGTGCAGTATGTATTATACCTAAACCTTCCTTAAGAATCACCCTATCTATTAAAAAAAATCGCATCAAAATCCGATGCGTAGTTTTAAAGATCTAAGCATATATAGGGACAGACAGATGGCGATAGCGACTTTGTATTACATTATGTAGTGATTTCAATAGAATTTTGGCTTTAATTAGTGCATATTTAAACCTTCATTTGATATTAATCAATTGATTTTAAGATCGTTCATCACATCGATTCAATTAAATAAATACTTAATCCATAAAATTCTGACATACAGAAGACGAAGTACTGATAAAACTTTACATACGCGCCATGAAGTTAACCAAAGAGAAACAAAGTACGAAAATGACTTGATTTTGAACTAATTTCATTTAATTAGAACCTGACACCATCATTGCTAAATGCTTTCAATTAATATTACCGAAATATTTCTGAGACAACACAAATTAACCATTCATGTGTCTAAAACCCGGATCCACGCGAGGCGCAATGTATTTTCTATTGTGTTTTATAGCAGTACATTCTCGTGGTCGCTCACCTACCCGGTGGTTGGATGCTGTAAAAAACCTAACCGGCCTGACAGTTCCACAAGCCATAAAGACCGCAGAGAACAGTGGCGTTTGGAGGAGGGTTGTGCATCAAGTGACGCGTGCACCAGACTAGACACGACCTTCAGTAATGAAGAAGACGACTGGGAAGAAGATCGGTACATTCAAAAGTTTAAACAATAATTTATTAAACTCACCCCTTGCATTCGTGGCCGCGTCTGCAATCTTCTGGAACGCATCCAGAAACGCTGCTATGGCGACCAGGGCGGACCTGTCAAATTGGAAGATATAGGTATTAGAATTTCAATAACTACATTTATTTGCAATACTAGCTTCTGCCAGCGGCTTCGCCCGCGATCCCAGGGGTAAAATGCCTATGTATCATTTCAGACCATAGTCTAGCTCTGTTCCGAATTTCATTCCGGTCCCTTCAGTGGTTTTAATATGACTGAGTAACAACTATAAGCCTGCACACGCGACGGAAGCTTAAAAAATGGAGTAACTTCTCCCGTTTCCCAAAATTTCCCTTCACTGCTCTGCTCCTATTGATCGTAGCGTAATGAAAAGTATACTATAACCTGCCCAAGAGTATGAAGAATAATTGTGCTAAATTTCGTTAAAATCCATCTAGTAGTTTTTGTTTCCATAACGAACATACAGACAGACAGACAGACAGACAAAAATTTTACTGATTGCATTTTTGGCATCAGTAGCGATCCCTAACCACCCCTTGATAGTTATTTTTTAAATATATTTTATGTACAGAATTGACCTCTCTACAGATTTATTATAAGTATAGATTAAAATAACTACTGTTTATTATATGCATATGAATATACATACGATACATACACCGAAATATTTTTTTACAATTTTTATGTGTACGTTTGTTTGCTCTGAGTAATCACCGAAATATCTGGACCAATTTTGACGGGACTTTCATAGCTGATGTACTAAGGAGTAACTTAGGCTGTTCCATGCGGACGAAGTTGCGCGTACAGCTAGTCAATAATAATTTAAGTGTTTAAGTCTCATTAGTCGTTTGGTTCCCTCTTGCAATTAAGCATTAAGATTTATTTCAGCTTTTTGAATATTGACATAACATAACATCACGCCTTTTATACCCCAAGGGGTAGGCAGAGGTGTACATTATGCCACTGTACAATGTAACACCCACTTTTCACTATTTATGTTATGAGACACATGTAATAGGGGGTGAGCCTATTGCCATATAACCGGGCACAATTCCAGACTCCGTCCTACTACTGTGAATTTTTATGAAAAATCCAGTAATACTTTGCCCGACCCGGGAATCGAATCCGAGACCCCTTACCCGGCAGTCGCACTTGCGACCACTCAGCGAATGAGGTAGTCTCTTTTTGAATATCGTCCTTCTAATATTAAATAGGACTCAATAAAAGAACTGATAAAGTGTCGTGTATCTGCACTTCAGCCTATTCAAAGGCCCTAATTCAGAAAAGGATAAAAAAAACAATGACAGCAATCGAGACTGTTACTAGTTATAAGCTAAGGCTGAAATCTATTCATAATAATAATACCGGCAGGTTCTTATCAATGACATCACCAATTGACATGGCATTCACACGCAGCCGTGACCTCTACGAATGCTGTATCCATTGTGATATTAAAATGTGTTTATTTATTTATTCGCCTTCACAACAGAACAGAGCGATTGATTGATTGCTTTGATTTATCGTTGTGAAGATTGGATGGACATTCTTTATATGGGTAGTATCCAGGGTATCAAAATTAAAAATCTAATTAGTCCGTCATTTAGATGATGAAAAAATATCAGACACGTATTTTTTTATTTTCTCGTATTAAGTTGCAATACTTAGATAAAATGGCGCTAAGTTTAGGAGTGGGAGGTTGTTACGTCATAACGTGCTAGAAAATGTGGCACGCTGTGACGTCACTCGATATTTCAAATTAATATATCGTCGAAAGTATTTAATTTTGTGAAAAAAGAAAAAATACGTGTCTAAAGTTTAAAATTATACTAGCCAGACGGACATTAGACTAAAATTTACGAAACTACCCTATTTGTACGGAACAATATACGACAATTTTTAGTCTTGGGACGAGACATCCATTATTTTATCATTTATTAAAATTTCAATTGTATTTTTTGACTACAACATCACAGCAAACGTAGCAAACCTAAACGCAGAGCTAAGAAATATGTATGACAAAAGCAGGAGACCGTTAGAACACCAGTGGATGAATGCATGATTCAAAACCCCTCACGGACGAAGCCACGGGTAAAAGCGAATCGAAACATGAATATAAAACCACAGGACATAACAATAACGTTTTTATCATCGTATCTGTATGATGTCGTCCAATTTGGCAGTGAATAGCCACACAATTGTGAAATGACCTGGCCGGGTTACATTGCATCGAGGTTCATATTTTGTGGTTGAAGTTGAACTTGATCAGTTGATATGTGTTGTGTTTGCAAATATTTGTTTGTACAGGCTCGTTGCAGTACGATAGGGAAAAACCTTAGCAATCCACCTGCCAAACATGAAGATTATGGCTCTCATTTACTTAGAGAAGAGTGTGGCTCATCTAGCACAAGGTCCACTAGTAGATTGTCAGGGAACATTAATGTGTTTTGATGTGATTTCTTCTCTTTAGAGATCTCTAATTAGTCCGTCAGTTAGGTAATGAAAAAATATTAGACATGTATTTTCTTATTTTGTCGTATAAAAAACAATATTTAGATAAAACGAAATAAAGTTTAGGAGTGGGAGGTAGCTACGTCATTTTACGATATTGCAAATCAATATATCTTCGAAACTATTTGTTTCAGTAAGAAAATAAAAAATACGTGTCTAATGTTTTAAAATAATCTACCGGACATCAAAATAAAAATTAGTCTTCTACCCTATTAACATGTCCCTAGTATCCACAACTCGAGAGTGATTAAACTGTATCTATAGAGGCGTTTGGACGTAGGTGCTTATGTACTACTCTAAATAATAGTTGTTAAGCAATTTATCGATACTTACTTCAACGCGGAATGAAGTTTCGTCGCCTTTGATATAAACTCCTCCCACATTGGCGCGCTGTTCTGTGGACAAATAGGACATGATATTAATTTGGCGATTATATACTAAGGAATAGGACATTTACGATGAGAAATCTGTAAGAATACATAAAACAGTTTTGATAAAGTGTTCGCACACCTTGCGACCTTGCCGTACCTACCCAACTATCTACGCAAAGAACAACCAGCTATAAATGAATAGGGCTGTGACCAATTTTGAGCGTTTCTAAAAAAAATGTATAATATATATATAATATATATTGCCTAAAGATCAAAAACGACTAGTTCAAGCTGCGTTTTTAATCCAATGTAAATCAAATGATCGAATTCAGATTCGATTCGAGCTCTCGATAAAGCCCCGACCGATGCAGCAGAGATTATAACCCTACCACAACACAGATAAACAATCAATAAATCTGGCAATATCGATAAAAGCATCAATACAATTTGAAATCGAAGAGTATTATCTGATTGATGCGTTCACTTTGCGTAATTTGTCAACGTGTATGATATGCAAGCAATACATTAGCGCCTGCCGATAATTTGTGAGCAATCAATCACGTTATTGCTAAAATGCATGATGATTGTAAGTAGGCGTTGTGATTGTGCTTTACATTAAATTAATATACGAAAGTG